AGCTCACCCTTCGCCAATAAGCTGCCATTACAGCTGCATTAGTTTTATTTTACTCTGTTGCCACACACACACCAAACTACGCTCCCTCACCAGCACGTTGCTCTCAATCTAACTCACTCTCTTTCTATCTAGCTCTCAATTGCAACGGCTCTTCAAATATTTATTACAATTATAATACTTATATTAATTTTATACTCTTTCTCATAATTTTTGTATGCGTAAATGTGTATATATAAAAAAAGAACTCTTTAATCCACTAACTGAGTAGCGCTCATTGTTTTAAAACCCGCCCAATAAAAATTTCCGCATTAAAAAAAATTTAGTTTACGATAAGAATGGATTCGACGACGATGCGGCTTCCGGATTTACCCAAGGCATATTATTGTTATTCTGTAAGAGGCAAGGAAAAATATTAAATAGATTAATAAAAGTACGAGACAGAAGGAAATTTCTAGTAAAACAAGTTTCAAAAACGTTTAAAAGTATTATTAAATAAACGGATAAAATAATATTGCAAAAGGTAAAGAAAAAACTAAATACATATATGTTTATTTATATACATGCATACATGCTAAAAATAGTAACGGTATAATTAGATTAGTAAGGTGTAACAACGCTCATGCGCTTTGAGCAGCGCAGATTCTACGCTAACACGATATTTTTACATTCATTTTTTTTACTGGTATCTACACAACTACCGCAAATTCTACTTATTTGCAACAATTAGTAACATGCGGTTATAGTTTTTAAGCATTTATTAAGTTTACCCATTGTTTTATTTAAGCGTCCAATCCTCCATTGTTGGCTACAAGATATAAAATTTTTATAAATTAGGTAGCAAGAAATGCATATGGATGTTGAACAAGATTTTTTAAGGCAGTATGTAAATTTAAAGGTGTAAAAGTAGTGCGGAGGGGTGGTAGCGCATAAATGCATTTATTATAGTAGATGTAACAATTCCTAGAATCTCCAATATAAAGAAAAAACTCGACTATAGTATTCGTTAGAAGAGACTTCCTAGCCTTATTGAAAAGTATCGATATATTCCTTGATACTGAGTTGTACATAGGTATATGTATGTATGTACATCGATATCTACCACGAAAATCACAAATTATGTATGTATGTATTCAGGTGCGAAGGGCGATAAAAGATTTGATGTAAAAAGGATTGTTGTTGTCGTATCGGTTACTGGAATAAGGGGGCATGTGAAGAGGTTATTAGCGTCATAGTTAGGTCTGTATAAGTAGGAGTTTCACCCGCTGCAATATGCCGATTGTAATTGTGCGAGAGTATCGGTGGGCCTCTAGAAGGAGATGAAACTCTTTCTTTCACAAGGAGAGAGCTGGTGAAGGTGGTGATAGTATCTCTGTGAATATCGTAGTCCCATACGTCGCACAGGGTGGAAAATGAACGATAGCGTAGTAAATTTTATACATAAATGAACCCGTCCAGTTAAACACACGGTCTGAACAAGAAATTAATTAGTTTTAGAGGAAAACAGCACTCCAGACAATGGAAGTTCAATAAAAGTTCAAAGAAACTACAAACTAGGACTGGGAGTTCTATCCGCATTTTTGAATGTTCCCATATTTGATTACAAAATTCATTCATACACAAGCAATTCTTTATTTTCAAATTCGAAAATCCGGATATCCGTTCATTTTGTTATGAGGATATCCGGTTAATATCCGGATATTGAAGAATCTAAAAATAAGCATTGTTTGTGTACGAATGAAGTGTTCTATTATTTATTTTGCAACCCAACAGATTGCACAATTTTGCGAACGAATTCCCCAATACATTCAAACACATTTTAGAATATCCCGATGACCGGATACCAGATAGAACGGATATTAACCGGATATCTGGATTTTGTTCATGTAGACGAATGTCCGAATATAGGAAAATTCCCAGCCCTAGCTTACAAAAGTACTGACTAACATGTAGTCAAAGTGACAGATTTTAGTGGTTTATTTCTAGATCTAGCATAATTTCCAACCCCTAGCCCGCTTTGCTCTCCACTACAAGCTCATTTGTTAACATAAAACAAGGAAGATTTTGGCAAAACTAAAATAACGAGCAAACACAAGACATAACAACAAAAACTTATATCAAATATATAAGCTCAAAACATAATAATAGTAAACAACATAAAGGCTGCATTTCTTTATTCATTCTGAACGTTTGGAATAAATTATGTTTATTCCGGCTGTGAAATGGGATTATCCGGAATGTATAAAGAAACGCAGCCAAAGATTCAAAACAACGATGTCAAACAATTTCGTACTGTAGCAATAAACTCAATAAAACAATACTGGCACTTCTCAATTTTCCAACACGCATTAAATCAACGCTAGCAACTTCAGCAACTTTTCATTAATTTGTAACTTAAGCATCCTCGGCATATTTCAACAGACACTCACTTCCAGCTTACAGTTGCCCAACGTTGACGACGCTGTTGACGTTGAAAATAATATTGCATTGTTGTTAATGTGATTGCAGTTGCCGTTGAGGTTGAGGTTAAGATTTTGAGTCAATGAGGGTGTTGCCTCGTAAAAACCATAATTAAATAAAGAGCCACCGGCACCGCCATTGCCAAGGCCAAAATCAAAACCATTGGTAGTACCAGCCAGGCTGCTCGTATCGACATTGGCAGCACCATAGCTAAAAGGAATCGAGGTAGTCGGCGGCAACGGCACCGGCACTGGAGCTATTTTAATACCTGGCGTATCAGCTAAAGCAGCCGTTAAGGCATCGCTGTAGCTTGTGGTCAACGGTGCCACCTGTGGGTATGTAGTGGCATCTGAATTTATCGAACAGTTTGGTACAGTATTGTTGCTGTTATTGTTGAAGGCATCACTAAGAGGATCATAATCTTGATTTATCGTGGTGTTGAAATCGGCAAAGGTTTCAAATTTACTATTGGCTGGAGCGAATGGTGGCTGGAAGGCCAAAGTGTTAATAGCCGTGGTGGCGGTGGTGCTCTTGTTGGTGGTGTTTTTAAATGTGCTATTCGTGCTGGCCACTTGTTGGCCGAGTGTCGTATTTGACGCACAATCATAGAGTTCTGTGTCACTGTCGCTGGCAATTTGCATGTTGCGTATATTATCAACACTTTGACTGTGAACTTGCACTTGCGTTTGGAATTGATGTGGTCCATCGTTTTGGTGATTATGCTTGCTGTTATTGCTGTTGTTGTATATAAAGAAATCATTTGAAGCTGTGCCGAAGGTAGTATTGAAGACGTCATAATCACTTTTTGAATATTGCAATGATTGCTTGTTGCCGCTGCTGTTGTTGTTATTATTGTAGCTATTGTTGATATGCTTGCTATTATTATTGTCGTTAAACTCGTTGATGCTTAGAAAACTTGCGAACTCGTCACGATCATATTCAGTAAAGAAGTTTCTGGAGGGCTTAGTTTTGAAAGAAAGGAGTAAATGCGGTTGTTGTTTTTTTTTTTGTTTTTTTTTGTTCATGCGTAAGCGAGTTTTTCATAAATGCACGAATAAAATAATAGTATAGAGAGAAAAAGAGTTTAAAATTTTAGATAATTAAATGAAAATTAAATATGTATGTAAATAAATTGTTGAAGAATAAAGAAATTCAAAGTAATTCCATAAAAAAATGTCAAATGAGGCAAAATCACAAAAAGCAAAATGCACAGAGCTTATTTGCGATTCCAAAATTTTAGTCCGTTCCCTTGACCACATACTTTTAGGTCTCTTACGATACCTAGCAATGCATTCTTAAATCTTAGTGGTCCATGCACCAGCGAGTTGATTCATATCAGATAATAAGAAATTTTCAGAACAGATGCCGTTTACGTTGAAAATGCTTTTTTGTTTTTTTTTTACCGATTATTGTTTTTTTTTTTTTAATATTGCTTAGCTTGTGATGTGCGCTTAACGTACCTGTGACACATTAGTGGAATTGTTAACTGGCGCCCAAGGATCTTGATTCATAGTCATAGCGAAAGGCTGCTGTTGCTTTAGTTGATTAATGGACGGTACCTGCAAATAATTTTTGATTATAATACATATTTTTTAATACTTATAAAACTAATAAATGATGTAGAAAAAGTGAATGTGAACGCACTTAGGGCCTATGATGCTGCTATAAGGTTTTAACTTGAAGTCTAGTAACCTAAGTTAAATAGAGCTGCAGACCATTAAAAAAATTGGTATGATTTGGTTCACTGTTTCGAAAAAAACTTAAAACTATGAAGTGAGATTCGGTTTGGTTCAAACTGTTCGATTGACGGATAAGTCTTTCGGATGCGATCCCTGGATTTTCCCAGCGGGAATGAAGCGGACGCCTGCTGCGTTGATGATCGTGCATATATGGCGCTCAGCAAATTAGCGATTCTTATACTTCGGGAAACTAAACTACTTGGCCTTTCGTATGTTAATGAGTGTACGGTTTTAGGAGATGAAATCAAAGGGGCATGTATTCTGAAACGATCGTAAGAATTTACTTGTTGCCTTCCAATACAATTTATTAAACATTCGCTAGCTATGGGGATTTCTGATAAGCCATGGCAGGCACTTGTCATTCACGGAACGTTGTTGAAATTTTTGAATGAGGAATGCTGCAGAAGTGGCGGCCTTGGTCGACTGTCATGAGAACGAATCACGAAATTTCAACATGGCAAATCCTACAGAGAACCATTAAATGGCACCGCAATCAAAAAACTGCAAATCGACACAAAAATTTTGTCCGTATGACAGAGCACTACTCTCCACAAAATACTTATATGTATGACTCTTTAACGTTTTTGTTTTGAGTGCATACTATTCAAAACATTAATACCAGCCAGTTAATCCATAATGTTCTTTAAAAATTAGCTCTCAATAATTTAGCCTATATAAAACTTTGGGGAAAACACTTGTATTTTGTTTTAAAAACTTTGGACACCAGCACATCGAAGTTTTCCTTCCGGCTGTCTGAGTATTAGCTAAGCAAATTTTCCTTTGCGCCTCTCAGCTTTTTAACAAAAAAAGTATCAAACTAATAATACTCACCGCAGGCTGTTGTTGCTGGAATAAATTTGTTTTTGGTGGTATAACAGTATCGCTAAATGGATTGTAGGCGGCATTGCCTACTTGCGGTTGTGTTTGCACGGGCTTTATAAGATTATCCAAGTTAACTAATGACGAATTTTCACCTAAGAATGACTGTGGTGTTTTCAGTTGTTTTTTCGTATTCGTTGAGGCTGTATTGAGCGATGAATTCGTTGCTGATAGAGGATCCATTTCATCGAGTAGTGATGCTGTGATAAACAAACAAAAAACTATATATATATATTTTTTTTTTTCAAAATTTCAATGACATTTACCATTATTATTGTTAGAAGCACTTGTCATACTATTAGTTAATAAATCTCCAGTCTTATTGCGATTGGTTATTATATCGAATTCATCCAAATCAGGTGATGGTTTCTAGAAAACAAAAATGGATGATTCGAAGTAAAAACGAAGCACTAATGTGAAAGCGTTTGTCATCACACGAATATGTGAGTAGTACCTTTGCCGCACTCGTTTCACTAGTTTTCCATGGATCATCATTGCTCGCTGCACCCACCTTAGGTGCCCACGGATCGGCTGTTGGTGCTGCCGCTAACGGCGCAATGGTCACTGGCTTCACATTTTCTGCCAACCATGCATCCACCGGCTCAACTTTTTCCACACCAGCTGCTGCACCTCCACCCAGAGCGCCACTTTTAGACAGCCAAGGATCGACGCCTCCAATCGCACCGGGCCCAATAGAGTTGCCATTCAATACGGCAGCGCCACCAGCAGCACCACCGCCATTGCTTTGCAGCCAACCCTCAGTCGATGAACCAGATGCTACGGACGGCGATTGTGTGCGTGTTAGACCCCAGGCCTCGCCACCGTTGCTACCAATTCCACCAACTGCGCCTAGTGGTGCTGAAGCGGTGGCAGTACGCATAGACGCTGCCGGTTGCCAAGGATCAATTTGTGGCGATGAAGTGCCCGACCAAGGATCCGATAGCTGCAAATGTGTATAACAGTTAGCAACATATGTATGTACATATATGTTTCATGTGTGTCAGTCACCTGGCTTGCAGCGCGTGCCGGCGTGCCCCATGGTTCGCCATTGCCGCCTGTAGCGCCTAGCGGTGGACTTGAAATGCTTGTGGCGCCCAAAGAAATGTCCAGCAAATCTAATAAATGTGATTGTGGCTCTTCTTTTTTAGCCGTAGGCTTAACCGTTTGACCTCTAAAATTTCAGATGGTTATTGAATGAAAAGCAAACGAAAAATTTTTAATTTTCCACTTTTGTTACGCACTTGAAATCCTGTTCGCTTTGGCTAAGCGCAAGTTGTAAACGCACATCATCACTGCGTCGCTTCGCCTCCTCCTGTTCTGCTTCTTCGCGAGACATGGCCATAGCTAGCTGCAACTGCAGCTCTTCTTCGCCAGCTGTTTGCGGACGCACCAGCTCCAATTCTGACACAGGCTTCGTCGGTTCCTCCTGCCAACCGGGTGGCATATCACGATGTGTCGGCCCATCTATATAGCCGTCACTGCCAAAACCACTGGGATGTTGCGCGAAGCGTTCTTTCGCCTTCAACGCTTTCACGCGTTCGTTCTTTAAGCGTTCGTCGTCTTTCAGCAAATTTACCAACTGTTTGGCTTTTTCGCGTACATGCGTACCTTGGTCTTTACCCTCTTCGAAGTAGACAAATTCACGGAGTGTTTGTATGGCAAAAATATTCTCTTTGCACTGCTGCGCCACCTTTTCTGTGCCGGTTTTTATCAAGTATTCCAGTAGAATTAGTGCCTTGTAAACATGTCGCCAATTCTTGCCATGATCATTTAGCCGCTTCCAAATCATTTGCATAATCTCCGAGAAGGCAACCACATTGTACGTAAGATCAGCGATTTCTGCCATTATCGTGGCCGATGGCCCCCAAGGGTCATTGGACGTGGCCTCGCGTACTTTAACCTGAGAGGGAGAGACAAGATGCCAGGTAAATATGGTAAGAATAAGGTGTATATGTTTGTAGCATATTTCTCGAAACCTACCTGCGCATCCGAGTAATTGTGCGCGAGGTTTTTAATGTTGCGACGCAAACCAGCGACATTTACTTGCATGTCTTCCTTTTGTTTTCGCACTTTGGAAAAGATAGAAAGAAATATTTAGTGGTTTTAAATAAAGAGCTATATTGCAACATTTAAATGATTAATTAGTTTGTTAGCTAGTTTCATAAAACATGCAGTGTTAAATTTGGCTTTGAAAGAATCCCAAAAAATTTCAAAACACAAACAGGGATGCAAAGCGATAGTGGAGAACTGAGACTGTCCAAATATTGCGAAAACCAACATCGCAATAAATATTTGCAAATAGTTGGTATGATATGCGCCTAACTGTATGCAACAGCGTGATTTTCATGAATTCGAATTGTAATCGAGTTGGCATAATAGCTGCCTCGCATTGCATCCCTGTATCGATAATGGATATAATATGGTATGCATTTGTTAATAAGAACTTCAAAAATGTATGTATATATGTATG